CTATAGCATAGGACATCGCACCAAGAAACTATCTTTCCCAGTGCAAGATTTTCTATAGCATAGGAAATAAGTAGTGATAGAAACCAAGTTTGCTCTCCCAATGCAGTTTGAGTAGTTTCTTGTCCATCGATAACTGTGAAGACTCAGTTTCTTAGTTAGACTTGGTTTCTTGGATTTTTTTCTCTCTCCTTATTAAATCACTTGCCACGTCAGCAAATTGCCTACGTCGCAATGCAATTAATATCTATAGAAACTACCATAGTTTCTGCATTGTGAGTGCCCTAAGCAGCTAATTGTGGAGGTGCAATGTGGGAGCATAAAAATGTTAGAGGGTCCCGAGCCCCCCTCAGTCCTCTTCCCTCTGCCATTGTTTGGCGACATTGCCTGTCGTCCACCCTTGTTTCTCAACCGTACTGTCGCGGGTTGGTTGCCGCGGTAAGCATCGTTGTTCGTCGGGTGTCACTAAGTGTGGGTCTCCGGTGGCTTGGGTGGACTCAAGAACACAAGAGAAGACACGGCGATGTATCCCAGTTCAGAGCTATCGGAGCCCTACGTCCAGCAAATGGTTATTCTTTATTTATATTTGAGAGCACCCAAATCGGGGGGGGGGTGTGTTACAACAAAAGAGTAAGGGGGGTTACAATGAAAGAGTAAGAGATTTGGTAGGGGGTCGCTCGGTGCTATCCTAAGGCTCGTCGGCGGTGAGGTTTTTTCCTCGGTGGGGGAGAAGAACGCTCTTCTCTCTTGCCGGGTTGTTGGGGGGAGGAACGCTCGACCGTTCCTCTCGGCTTGCTCTGCTCTTGGGGAGGAGCTCGAAATGCTCTCTGTTCTGTTTTGACCTCCCCCTCTCTAGGAGCCAACCTCCCCCTTATATTCTAAGGAAGGTCAGATACAAGCGGTTCGAGGTTTTTGTCTGTGGTCTACGTGCGCCGGAGTCTAGGAGGGTGATGCTGCGGCGTGGATGGACCCTGGCGTTGTCGTGGAGTCGAGGGAGCCTCGGGCGCCACTTGGTTCTTCTGCCCTGACACTCTGAGGGATGTCTGTACTTGGACAGGCCTCCACTGGGTGAGCCTTGTCGAAGCTTCCATGGCGGTGAAGACGCGCTGGCTTGGGGGTCACGACAGCGGGCCCGGAGACCTCGAGCCCCTGGAGCCGGTGGAGGGATTTGTCCACTTGTGTCATGCTACCTATGTGACTTTGTCAGAGGAGTGGGCGTAGCGCCGCGCGCCCGTCGGTCGGGGCGGCGCTGGGAGCCCCTGAGCCTTGGATGCTCGGCGTGCTGGTCGATGCTCGGTGTCAGATATATGGGCCAGGGGTACCCTCAACTGCCCGTATATACGACCACATCCAAGCTATCGGCCCAGGAGCCGTCAAGGAGGAGGCCCACGAAGCACGAGGAGACGCGCGGGAGGATTTGGGGGCTTGGCCTAGACCCAACGGAAATGGGGTCTGGAGGTATGATTTGGATGCCCAACTAAATTTCAGGGCCACAGTAGGGGCCCCGCTGAAGCACGTTTTTTGGCCTGAGCCCCTATATTTAGCTATAGGGGCTCAAGTAGGAGCCTTGCTGGAGTTGCTCTGACAAAGGCTGAGAGGTCTTTTTTTTATCATATATAAGCTGGTGAGAATTCTTGCCAAACACGGGCATAGTTAGTTACATCATTAAATCATTAAATGTGCCAACCTACCATTCTTCCGTCTCCGCCTTAAAATTTCTCAAAACTGGATATACTTTCAAAGTAGTAAAATTTGTCAATACCATGTGGGAGAAAAAGTTGTACGCCCTGGCTTAAACGTGGGTAAGGTAGTCCCTTACATAATTATCAGTAGAAAACACAATTGCTCTGTATTAATGAGAGTTTGTTTGACAGGGTGTACTAAATGGAAAAGAGATTGCCGTAAAGATACTTCGTGACATGGCTGCACTTGATGATAATGCCTTTAGGAATGAGTTCCAAAACCTTGCAAGACTCGATCATCGAAATATTGTACAGTTAGTGGGCTACTGTAACGAATCGGAGAAACAAACTGTAGAGCGTGACGATGGAACAGAAGTTATTGCTGAAAAGATGCATGTGGCCCTCTGCTTCCAATACGTAGAAAATGGCAGCCTTCACAAGCATATTTCAGGCAAATAACTTGATTCTCAACAGGCCATACATGCAATTTCATTTACATTATAACAAATGATTCTTTGCCGAAGTATATTTAAGTGTTCTTTAATGTTTTCTTTTGTATGTACAGATGAATATCAGGGGCTTCACTGGCATATTCGCTACAAAATAATTAAGGGGATTTGTGAGGGTTTAAAACACCTTCGTGTGGGGTTGGAATCACCTGTATTGCATTTGGACTTAAAACCAGAAAATATATTGCTAGACAAGGAAATGGTGCCCAAAATCGCAGATTTCGGTTTATCAAGACTAATTGGAGAAGAAAGAACAAAACAAACAATAAATTCGGTTGGGACATGGTAAGCTTAAGTATGCCTCGACAAGTTGATTTGAAAAGGTTAAGGGTTCCTCTACGTGGGTATCATAATGACCAACCCTTCATTTTTCTTGCTATTTTAGCTTTTCATAACGATGCACAATTTTGAACATTGACATGCTAATATGTTTTTCCTCTTTAGTCACTGTGTATAACAATATTCCCATCTATGATGATGTGCAGTGGATATTGGCCACCAGAGTACGTGAAATTCCAGTTGCTCTCAGAAGCATTTGACATATTTAGTTTGGGTGTTATAATTATAAAAATAATGATTGGAAATGAAGGATACCACAGCTTCGCTGATATGTTACCTCGAAAACTTGTTAAGCATGTAAGAATACGTTTGGTCTTATATCAATCTTATTATTTATTTTTAAATCAAAAATGCATTTTGTGTTTAAACTTTGTTTGCAATATATATCTGCCTTCTAATTATAGGTCCTAATGTTGCAGGTACATAATAATTGGAAGAAAAGGCTACAGGAAACAATTGAGCCTACATCACTGGAACTAGAAGCATACTACTGCCAACAGGTGAAGACATGCATTAAGATGGCATCAAAATGTTTGAGCGAGGATCGGAAGGAAAGGCCAAGCATACAGGAAATTGTCTGTGCTTTAAATGAGGCTGAAATAATGATGCGAAACATACCGTTGCAAATAGAAAAGGTATGATCTCTGGTGGAGTATTGACAGAGTTAATAATTAATAACTGGACGCTCTCACACGGGCTACAACCTTAGAAGACATAAGCATTACTTATTAATTTATACATCTAACTAATAAAAAATACTTATATTAAATTATGTGTTTTTCGTTCTGTTCATTTTCTAACACAATAGCGTAACACCAAGACAAAACGGTTTTTGTCGATGCTACGGATTTATTCTACTAGCAATTCAGAAAGAAGAGGCCCCAGTAGAAATAGAATTGTATGCCCATGGCTATAACCGCCGGAGGAGATATCTTTACCGGCGGATTTCCTGATGGTATGAACCGTTGGTGTAAATTGGATTTATACTAGTGGGTGTTTTTAAGCTTATGACTAGTGTCAACATAAATCTAGGATTTCTACCGGCGGTAATCTTAAGAAAACTGTCCATATAGATATGTTTACACTGGTGACATTCTTAACCTGCCGCTAGTACAAATAATTTGAAATCTATTTTTTTAAATTTTCAAATGACTTCAGCTGAAGAAATGACCTAAACAAGAGTCGTAGTCCTCGAAGAGGTCTAAAAATTTCTGATTCAATCTATTTTCAATTGAAGTCGTTTAGGGTCTCAACTATGCATTACAATATTCACTAAAATGAATACAAAAGGAATGTATTAACCACTTAGTCATAAGTGAATCTAAGGTTTAGTGGTAAGGAAATAATACAATATAAGATTGAAGTTGTGAGTTTGATCCCTGGCAGAAATGTTTTTTTGTACTAGTGTAATGATACTTTGCAATCTCATATATATGCGAGTAATATTTCCCATTTGAATGATACATTTTTAGAACATAATGATACAATTATTTTGACGAGGAGGAAATGGTATCATAATCGTGGTAGATGCTATGTGTATCATACATCATACTGAAAACTTTTCCCTTTTGTGTAACAAATATTTGTTCAAACAAACAGAAGGTGGACCGCACATATGTGATGAAATACTATCCATATGAATTACTAAGAAGAATAACAGATAATTTCTCAGAAGAAAGATTACTAGGTGAAGGTGGGTTCGGACGCGTTTACAAGGTATGGTTAGCATTTACACTTACAAGGCATCCAAAAATCATCAGAGAACTCATTTTCCTAAAATGAGAAATTAATTAGGGAATTCATGAAGATGGACGAGAAATTGCGGTGAAGGTTCTTCGTTACTTTTCTGCATTCGATCCTGAGCATTTCCAAGCTGAGGTTGAAACTGTGGCAAGGTTCCGGCACGAAAATATCATACAATTAGCTGGATACTGCTATGAAACAGAACCGACAATTTTACAACACGAGGGGAGACTTGTCATTGCTGACAGCATCCATAGTGCAATATGCTTCGAGTATTTGCAAAATGGAAGCATTGAACGGCATATTTTAGGTACCGCAATGCACCATGCAACATATATACAGTATAATTCATAATAAAAGTAAATAGTAATTCATGACTTATAAGTTAATTTGATATGCGAAATTTGTTTTTGTTTTCCAGACGAATCTGATGGACTTGATTGGTGCACATGCTATAAAATAATTAAGGGGACTTGTAATGGTTTACGATACCTTCACGAGGGACTGCCTTATCCTATTATACATTTTGACCTGAAACCAAGCAATATACTTCTGGATGGGAACATGGTCCCTAAAATATCAGATTTTCCTATAGAAAGAGTCTTCGGTGAAGATAAAATGAGGACAATAATGGGTTTCAGCCCAATGTGAGCAGCCGTAACTGAATGTTTGTTTTCTGTTTGGTAGTCATACACTTGCTCGTAGCAGAACTGTGTCAGATAACTATACGATGTCGTGCAGGAGATACCTACCGCCAGAGTTCGTGACTATGCAAATAGTATCAAAAGAATTCGACATATACAGCTTGGGGATAATAATCTTAGAAATGATGGCAGGGATTTCAGCACACTCCTTATTGCATGACATGATTTCTGAAGAATTTATCAAGTTTGTAAGAAAAAAGTTAAATTTCGGATATGTACTATATGATCAATAAACATTTCTCTATCAATTCATTTGAGTAAATGTCCAATGTTTGTAACCACCATTCTATGTAACTATATGCTGTTATGACCCTGTAGGTACTTGGGAAGTGGAGGAAAAGGCTAGAAGCAACATTGACGGGCCGCCGTCTATTAATAGTGGATATATATTGCAACCAAGTGAAGAAATGCATAGAAATTGCATTGGAATGCGTGGATGCTGACAGGCAGAGAAGACCCAGCATAGGCCATGTTGTCAATGCGTTGGACGAAACAGAAAACAGAATTCATGAAGCTGGTAAGCTGCTCAATTGATAACGTGCACCCGATGGAACGCCGCCTCTCTTTCAAGCCAAAATATTATCTTTTCCTTAGTTTTCGTTAGTGGTGAACTTTTTAAATTTTCTAATCTTATTAATCAAAAGCATGTCACTACCACAAAAATAATTTTAGGAGACAACCTCTGTTGTTAACGGCTGGCGGCCAGCTTCATAAATGGTCGGGCGGCCTCATGGAAAATGCCTGTCTCCAAAAATTATTTACAGAGGCGAACGTCCCAAGGCGACCACCTATAAAAGTCATCGATTAACAGAGGCGGTCATCTTAGGACACCCGTCTTTGTAAATTGGTTTTTAGAGGCGGACACTTTAAGATGTCCATCTCCATAAATTGATTTCTAGAGGCGGACGCCCGTCTCCGTAAATTGATTTCGGGGAAGACGGAGCCCACGCGTGACCTCGTATGGGTGCCCGCTGGGTCCGCCATGGGGGACTAGCTCACCCACTGCTGCGGAGCTTGCCCGTTGCGGGGGCCGAGCCCGCCCGCCCGCCGGGGAAGATGGAGATGGTGCGTGACCTTGGAGGGGCGCCTCTGGGGCCACCGCTGGGCCTAGCACGCCCTCCATCGGGGAAAACGGAGAGGGGCTGGAGGAGCTCTGCCACCGCCGGTTGGAGGAGATGCCGGCGCGGGCTTCTCTTGACGAGCGCGCTCGCCTCTTTCACGCCGGTTGGTGGACACTTTTGTTTTTGTCAAATTTACTCCTAAACACCACATCCAATAAAAATATTAATTTCTTGCTCTGAGGAAAGAGTACAGTGGTGAAATATCTTTTTCGCCCTTTGTTCTTCGCTCCCATTTCTTTTCTTCCCCCTTCCACTTTGTTCCATGAAGACACGCGCAGAGTGCAAGGCCACGATGAGCAAAGGCCAGGCTGGCCACGAGCAAAGACCACACGGGCCATGGCGGGGAGGCCGTCGGCCTCGAGTTTGCCGACTGCAAGGGCTTTCGGCCACTAGAGCGCGAGCTGCCGAGGGCAGCCAACCGCGATGGTACAGAAAGCGCGTGTGGTCGTCGGCCGCAACCTCACCAATTGCAGGGGCTGCCAGCCACGGGAGGACCAGCCGCGAAGGCAAAAAGGGAGGAGCCCGGGCGAGGCGCAGAGCTGGGGTCCCGGGCAGATGGGGACCGCGGCGGTCTAGGCGCTTCCACGCTGGCGACCACCTTGTCGACCTCTCCTGCGCACTTCTTCGCGGCCTACGGCCTGCCTGATGCGGCCAACAGGCATCCATCTAGGTGACCGTCCAGCTCACCGTGTTGTCCTCCTCTCCCGGTGCGAGCACTCGCTGCTCGCCGCGGGCACCGGCCGAGGCCACAACCACACCACCTGGGGGACCATCAAGCTCGCCGGTCACCCGTGTCCACGCGGAGGGGAGGAAGACAGAGAGAGGGGCCGAAGGACATTTCACCACTCTTCTCTCTCTCCTTCAAAGTAGAAATGAATATTTTATTAGGCACGGTGTCCTCTAGCAAATTTGGCAAGAAGCAAAGTGTCCAACATTTTCGGTCCACCAGCAAAAGGAGGTCACTTTCCAGCGTCCTGCAGCAAATTTTACCATTATGTATATATGTCCCATGCATAACACTGACTCCCGTTCCGTATATATTTTATTTTATCAGAATCAGAGTGGAACGATGAAGATAGCAGATCTAGTTACACAAAGAATAGTTCGAACCGTCCATACAAGACAAGAAATTATTCATATAAATTACTGAGAGAAATAACAAATGATTTCTCAGAAGATAGACTAATTGGTGTAGGAGGGTCTGGAAGCGTTTACAAGGTACGATGAGCATTTGCACCTCCAAGGCATCCAAAGGTCAGTACCATTGGAGAGAATAATTAAGAGCTTAACCTACTAAAATGATATATTAAACAGGGAGTCAATGAAGATGGAAGGGAAATTGCTGTGAAGATTCTTCATTTTAACGGCTTCAGTGGAGTCGATTCTGAGCACTTCCAGAATGAAGTTTATAGTATGGGAATGATCCAGCATGAAAATATTGTACGATTAGTTGGCTACTGTGATGAAACAGAAAAGTTACGTGTAGAACACCATGGAGTTGCTGAAAAATTTCATCGAGCACTCTGCTTCGAGTATTTGCAGAATGGAAGCCTTACAAAGCATATTTCATCAGGTAAGGTACTACAACAATGAACAAATAATATATTATCTGTAACTGAAGAAAATTGTTGTTTGAAGTTAGAAACTATATATGTTTTGCAAAATAGAGTCAACTTTAGATGCACAAAATATCTGTTTTGCAGACGAATATGATGGACTGGATTGGTGCAGACTGTACAAAATACTCAAAGGAATTTGTGATGGTTTAAGATACCTTCACGAGGAACTGCCTATTAGTCCAATTTTGCATTTGGATCTTAAACCAAGCCATATATTGCTGGATGAGAACATGGTACCAAAGATATCAGGTTTTACTCTGTCAGGATGCCTTCAAGAAGGTCATACCGTGGTAACATCATCTAGATACGGAACGCTGTGAGCTAATTTTGCAAACTAAACCCTTATTTTTATAAGCTCAAAGTCAAACTGCATTTATTTTACCAGAACTGTTTATGATATTTATGATGTTGTGCAGGGGATACATGCCGCCAGAGTTTATAAATAAAGGCATTATTTCATCAAAATCCGACATTTACAGCCTGGGTGTCACGATTATATATATGTTAACAGGGAGGCGGGGATATACTATTGAGGATGAGATCATTTCCCAAGAGTTTATGGAGGATGTAATAAAAAGTTTACTTTAGTCTATGTACTAAGATTAAGAAAGATCAATAGACAATTATGTTTGACCAATTCGTTATGTCTTCATTTGTGTTAACTCCGTAGGTATTCAAAAACTGGAGGAGAAGGCTACAGGAATCATTGAAGGGCCGGTCACTGGAAGGATATTGCCAACAAGTGAAGAAATGCATTGAAATAGCATCGCAGTGTGTGGAGGGAGACAGGCACAAAAGACCCAACATAGGAGCCATCGTCCGTATGTTGGATGAAACCGAAACCATGATTATGGTTCATGATGCTGGTAAGCTGCTTGACGTGGATCCGATGGAACTTCGATTCCCGTTGAAGCCAAAAAGGTTCGCCTCCTCCTTGCTGCGGCTACGCAACAAGGAAGACCACCATGTGGCATTCAGGCTTGTGTCCAAAGGCCAGAAGATGTACCACACCAACCTGCCCCTCCTCGGCATTGTGCCACCAAAGTGTACCTACACCATCGCCCTGAGGATGAGTAACCAGCAGAAGCGACCACAATTGGACGGCGATGAAGGCTTACTGGTACAGAGCGTCGCAGTGAGCCGTCAGCAGTGTCTTGACCAAGCCTCGGTCGTCCGAGAGTTTCAAAGTCACTTTAACAAAGCACAAGAGTCGGACGACGATGAGGTGCAAGAGCAAGAGGTGACATTGGAGTTTGTTTCTTCTCCGCCAACTGAAGAGGCATCATCCAAGGTAAGTTTTGCTAAACAAAATGAAGCTTTTTTTCCCCATTTACCTCACCTGTGCGTGACGTAAATTGTGCACTTGTTTTCTTCTGCACTGGTCATCCTTAATTTCTGGGTTGCATTTGTCCGACAGCTGACTCGACCGGAAATCGATGTAATAATCTTTGGGTTTCTCTTTATTGCTGTTGCTAAACAACACGTTTCGGATAAGAAAATTTATTTGATACGAAGCATGACTGGATTTCATGTAAGGCTCTGTTTGATCCTCTTGGCTAAAGTTTAGCCCAGTGCTAAAGATTAGCCCTTGAAATGAAGGGGCTAAAGTTTAGCCTCTTGGACTGTTTGGATGCTTGACTAAAAGATGACTAAAAGGTGAAAAAGAGAGGAGAGAGAAAGAGAGTAAAGTCACCTGTTAGCACTTTTAGCCTCCTTTATCCTACCTTGCAAGGGCTAATGGGCTAATGGAGGGCTAAAGATTAGCCCCTCCTTTTAGCCCTCCTGTTTGGATTCCCAAGGGCTAAAAGGTGGCTAAAAGGGGAGGGCTAATCTTTAGCCCCTTGAATGCAAACAGGGCCTAACTTATATGAATGGTTTGGATCAGATCATAACGGCGCCGGATGCTCAGGAAGTGTCATCTATAGAAGTGCACCCAAAAGAGCCATGGTAAGTTCTCATTGATCAAGGATGAAATGGCTAACCTTCTTTTGGTTTTTTACTTTTTTAGAGATTGGCTGTGCTTATGTTTCCAAAATGTAACCAATCATTATACAACCAGCTTGCTTCCGCTCCTTATATGACAAGGCAGTGCTCCTGCCAATCTTTTTTTTTAAAAAGAAAAATTCACGCGGCGTACTACGTACCAAGCGCTTGATTACAAAATTGTTCTGATTAATAATCAATGCCTTGGCTGTGTAATTTAATTTTTTCTTCAGGATTATGACAACTCATGAAAGAGGGAACTTTCGCATCTGGAACTACCAGACATTGGTGGGAGGCTACATTTTTTGTCATTTATTACTCATCGGAGTGTTCATCACGATTAAATAAATTTGAACTGATTAAACTAAGGACATATATTCATTCATCCGCAGGCAATCTTGAATCCCATTAGATTACCAGAAGAATCAGGCATGCAATCTTTCTAACCCACTTCATCATTTGCCATTACTTTCTCCCGCATCATCCAATCTTGCTTATTAATCACACACTCTGGAGTGTTGCATGCAGTTTATGTGGCTAAATTTATCGCACGAGAGGAATGGATTGTGGCTGGTGATGGCAATGGCTGCATCCATGTATTTGGCTACGATGAATACCAAGACACCACAAGCTTCGAAGCGCATAATGGTCAGATCATGTCCTTGGCTGTTCATCCCAAGAATTCTTATGTACTGTCATCATCTCATGAGGATCACCTGATTAAGCTCTGGCACTGGGACAAGTACTGGGACTTTGAGAAGGGGCCTTGGGTGTGCACTCGAACATTTGAGGGGCACTCTAATAAAGTGTCACATGTTATTTTTAACCCAGATGGCACTGACAGTTTCGCCAGCGCGTCCTGGGATGGCACGGTCAAGGTTTGTGTATATGCTCGTTTTCGAATCCTTTTTAACCCATTAAGAACTTTTTGTGGTCTTTTAACATTTGATCGATATGAAATTTACTCTATTGTATGGTACGGTGTTCGATCAAAATTTCTTTGAGAATCTGTATTGAAATGGCGCTATGACTAAACTTCACAGATCTGGGACTGGGGTCTTAACTCTGATGTGTGTAACACCATCACGTTGGACGCACATCCGGATGGCCTTCTTTGTATTGATTACATCACTGGTGCTGATCCTCAGCATCTTATCACTGGCTCCAAGGATCAGACTGCGCAGGTTTCAGTTCCACATCTTCAGTTGTGGAAAACATTCATGACTCACCTCCTCTTTCCATGGTTCGTATCACTGCTATAATGCGTTCCGCCTTTTTGTTCAACCAGATCTGGGACCTGAAGATAAAGAGGTGCAGGGAATTCCTACAAGGGCATGCACACCATGTTAGTGTTGTCTACTGTCACCAAGAGCTTCATAAGCTATTTACAGGTTCACTTGATGGGACTGTTCGGATTTGGGATTCCATGACATACAGGTAACTTTTTAACACGACCATGGGCATTAACTTAACATATAATAGATAATTAAATATCAATTTTTTTATATAATTTGTCAAAGTTGAGATGGATTATCCCCTCGCAAAGAGAGAATGCCATTCTTTTTTGAACTTAGATAGTATATATATATGGTGAAATTTTAGTCATAATTATTGTTTAGAGAAAATTTCTTCCTTGGCTCTAAAAAAGTTCACTTTCCTTCTTACCCTTTTAGATTTGAAGTTACCTATTTGGCCCGAAATCCATCTTGCTTTCTTATATGGCCATTCCATTAGATTTGGCCTCTAATAATGTAAATTGGAGGACGAAATGATGATTTTACCCCTGGGCGAAATAGGTAAGTTCAATTTTAATATATTTCATTTGGAGGATTATTTAGACTATTTTCGTATGGCCTGAGGTCATCATAATTGCTTCAAAAATAATGTGTACATTAGTTTTTGCAATTATGATAACTACAAACCATGCAAAAATAGTCTAAATAATCCTTAAAATGAAATATATGAAAACTAAACTGCCTATTTCGCTCAAGGGTAAAATTATCTTTCGTCCTCCACCCGGGCGCCGATGTAGCGCGCCACTAAGGAAGCGACGACCCGATCCTTGCTCACTTCACCATGCCCAGATAGTGACACGGTGCGTCACCAAGGGGTGCTGACTCGGCCCTTGCCCATTTAACACCATACCCGGGTTCCAATATGACGCGTCGCTAAGAGGGTTACGCCCCAACGGTTTTCTTTCGGGTTTCATCTTCATTAGAATGGCTAGATTTAACGTTGGCTCACCACGCCTATCACAACCCTCTTCCTTTACCAGGGCTTGGGACCTGCTATGTTGTGACAACATAGGCGGAGTTCCGGTTATGAATGGTTATTGCAAAAAATTCTCATGAACACATATAGTGCGCATAGTTGATGGAATAATCTGAGTTTCTTATATCTCCAAAAAAAAAAAGAAGTTAACAATAGGTTTCTTATCTTGCAGGCTTGAGAATATTATTGCTCTTAACCTCGGAGCAGTTTCCGATGTTGGATATATAGATGAGTTACAAAGGTAATTCAATTTTTTTTTTGTTTGTCAAATACTTCACTGACCAAATAGAACAATGCTACTCTGATATTTATTGCCAAACAATTCAGGATACACCCAAAAAACACTATTTTTGACATAATTTTGGTGCGATTGGCTATGTAAAATTATGCGTGATATGAAATTCCACTAGCTGTGAACCTATGAATAATGAACATCAAGGCTTATAGAACACACATTTATTACTCCTTCCGTTTCAAACTGTAATTAACTCATTTTGTTTTTTCTAGATTGATAGTTTTTATTATGTATACAGTCATGTATATCTAGGTGCATAGTAAAAGCTATATATTTACAAAAGTAAAATTACGTTTTGAAACGGAGGGAGTACTTTCTAGCTAGAATATCGCATGGGGCATGGAATCATATTGCAGATCAGGTCTAACAATATAATGAAAATTTTAATATGCTTCCATTTTTATTTTCATAACAGTTCATGTGAGTGGACAGTATGAATCTTGTTAATACATGGCAGTAAACACACTAAGATATCCAATGGCATAAGTGTGACACATGAAGTTGTTCGATACAATTTAAGTGGTGATAAACATGTATTTTGTTGAAAATAAATTGTTCGCTCACTAAAACTCTGCTGCTCAACTCTGCTATACTTCTGGCGCTACTTTGTGTAGGATTGTTGTCGGATGCCACAAAGGGATAGCAATGATGGAGATTAAAATTTGATGATCTATCAGCTTCGAGTGAAGGATGAAATGCAAATAATGCCATGGCGTGGCATTTGTTATTACTTATTACAGGTCACTTGACTTGCAATGAAAACGTTGCCGGGTGTTTGAGTGAAGCGAATGGATTTTGTTTCTTTATACTTTGGTTCTTGAACTTGTGTGGTAAAGGAGAGTATGTACTATGTATTGTGGTCTCTTCGTAATTGTGCCACACCAGGCAGACTGATAGAATTACTGTTAATTTGTATGGCACATGCATGGTACATGTGGATGATTGAAATTGAATGTACCATATGATTTCTGCAGTTCCAGTTCAGGTTTCCAGATAGATGGAAGGGACACATTTTGTGAGAGCATTCGAGATTTGCGGAAGTGTGCCGTGGGCTTGCCAGCAGGCCCAAAATAAAAATATAACTTGGGCGCACAACTCAATCAGTAGCTAGACAACTAGAAAAAGTCCAGAGCCACAAATGTTTATGCAAATCCTCCTTGCCCTGGGGCTGAATGTGAGTATAAAACTCAGTGGTGAGGATGAGTGGGTCTTGTATAAAAAGAAAATGCTGAATAGCATCTCAATTCCTCATCATTGCATCTACTGGGTTATTGCTGGCATGCTTACTGCAGTACTGTGATTTCGCTAGTCTGGAGCAATCAGAGTATTCATTTCTAACCGATATCTAAAATTGGTGAGCTAACTGATGTCCAAAATTGGTGCCAACTACTAGCAACAGGTGAAATGCTCTACATGATCAGGGTTCCAGCATAAGTGCATCAAAAAAACATAGCACATATCTTCCATAATCGAAGGTATCGGATGAGTAGTCAGGAACAGGGAAACTAGAGGATCAGAACATTCAAGCAGCAGCTTTTAGAAAGTCGTTCTAGAAAGTTGACTCAATGAGATGCAGCCCTGATGATAGCAACGCATAACAAGTGTTCAAATGATATATTACGAGTATATAAACCTCCACATCAAATGGCCATGGAGGTAAATCATGCTGCAACCAATAACCTCTACTTAACATGACTCACAGCATGCAAAATAAGGCTACAGAAAATCCCTCAAGTTCTAGGCACAGGAGATAGCAGTCTATGCTCTAGAAGGAAAGCCTTCCCATGGGCATGCTAAGACAGGGAACCTGTTATGACGGGCTTGGGCCGGAGAAGGCCTGGCCGTGGCTAGGGCCACGTCCGGGATGGGCCTAAAGCCCACATCGTCACGTAGTAGTATTAGCTATTATTAGAATTATTAGAATTACTATAGATTTCCTATTATTAGATGAGAGGAGTTATAAATACTTTGTAAGACTATTTTGAGAATTAAGCAGAAATATACCTAATTGTTTCCGGCTTCCCCTGGGAGCCGGGAGTTTTGCCCTAGCTGTCTTCTCGCGTCCCTCGCTGCAGCCACGGCGCCACCGCGCCGTCTTCCTCGTGCACTGCGACCTCGCCCTCCGATCTTCCACTCATACAATCTGCGATCCCTCTCCAACAGGACTAGGGTTCCTAGCAGCTTGGTATCAGCGATTCCAGGCACGATGACTTCCGCTCCGCTTAGCCACGCCGTTCCACCGCTGCTGTCATCCATGCCGTTGCCCACGGCGTCCTCCGAGCTCTCAGCCGCGTCCGCGTCCAACTCGCCGGGCGGCTCGCTCACCCAGAGCTCGATCACCCTGGAAACTCTGGCCGGCGTGGTTGATCAGATCGGCCGCAACATGGACCAGCTTGGCCGCAACATGGTCGCCATGCAAGCGTCCTTGACCAGCCTCTTGCCGCCGCCTCCACCATCACAGCCGTCGCCTCCTACCCTGTCGCTGCCAGACGCGCCTTCGGTGTCGCACCAGACGCACTTCTCCTACGGCATGCCCCATAGCGGGCCGGGGGTGCCTCATACCGTCGTGGGCGATGTTAGGGTCGACGGCGCCGCCGGTTTTCACGATGGCTACATCTCCTACGCCGTCCGCGGTGACCACCTCCGTCGTCCCTCCAGCCCCAACATCCGGTACGTTCTACGGCGACATGGACAGGTCGCTCTCCTACGGCGACGCTACTGGGTCGGCTGCACCGGCGGTCCTCGGGACTGACCACGGAGCGCACTAGGGCGCTCCAGCGCCGCCGCGCTTCTACAAGCTCGAGTTCGCCACCTACGACGGCGGAGGGGATCCGCTAAACTGGCTTAACCAGTGCGAGCAATTCTTCCGCGGCCAGCGTACTCTCGCCTCGGATCGCACATGGTTGGCGTCGTACCATCTCCGCGGCGCTGCACAGACATGGTACTACGCGCTCGAACAAGATGAAGGCATGCCAGCCTGGGAGCGTTTCCGCGAGTTGTGCCAGCTTCGTTTCGGACCCCCGACGCAGGGCACACGTTTGGCGGAGCTTGCTCGACTGCCCTTCACCTCCACGGTCCAGGACTACTCGGAGCGCTACAACGCCATCCTCTGCCATGAGCGCGACCTAAACCCTCGCCAAAAGGCGCAGCTCTACATCGGCGGTCTTCCTAAACATATCAAGGTGGACGTCGAGATGCAACATCCGCAGGACCTGCAATCCGCCATGTACTATGCGCGGGCTTACGAACATCGCGCGACAGCCTTCCTGCCGGCACAACAGCCGCAGCAGCAGCGCGCTATTCGTCCACCGGTGCGCCCCGGCCTTCCGCCAGCTCCCCGGCCGGCTGCAGCTCCATCCTTGGGGACTATACCATAGCCGCTTCCGACGACAAACCCCGGACAGCCGTGATTCCGCCACTTATCACCAGCGGAGCAACTTGAACGGCGTCGCCAAGGTCTCTGCTTCAACTGTGACGAACCCTACGTCCGCGGTCATGTCTGTCAATGGCTCTTCTACTTGGAGAACGATGACTATGTCGACGCCGAGCTCCCTGCCGAGGTTGCAGCCGCGGCCACGTTCCAGGAGCCGCCCGCGGTCACCCCTCCAGTCCTAGAGGCCACGGGGAGGCGTCGGCCACAGCTGGGGCGCCACCCACAGTGTCCCTCTATGCGCTCGCTGGGGTGCGCCCGAAGAACGCCATGCTTCTGCCTGTGACAGTGCGGGGCCACCGTTTGGTCGCTCTCCTCGACTCCGGCTCGACGACCAACTTCATCAACGCCGATCTCTTCAGCCGTCTGCAGCTTCCCTCCGTTCCGCATCCCACGCTACGGGTGCTCGTGGCCAACGGTGACTGCGTGCCGTGCCACGGACTCACCCGCGACGTCGCCGTGACCATCGGCGCCGAGGAGTTCTCCATCAACTGTTTCGGCATCAGTCTCGGCGAGTTCGACCTCATCCTCAGTTTCGACTTCCTGCGAACCCTCGGTCCCGTGTTGTGGGACTGCGAGAGACTCTCCATGGCCTTCATGCGCGCTGGCCACCGCGTCCTGTGGACGGGGCTGGGCTCCTCCGCCGACGACACCACTAGGCAAGTCGCGGTTCGGGCGGTGAGCGACGCTTCGGGGCAAACACTCTTGGACCGGCTACTCCTTCAGTTCGGCCCGGTCTTCGACGAGCCGCGCGGCCTTCCGCCAGCGCGCCCCTATGACCATCGGATTCACCTCCTGCCGGGCACCGCTCCAGTCGCCGTCCGCCCCTACCGTTACCCGCAGCTCCAGAAGGACGAGTTGGAGCGGCAATGCGCCGCCATGCTGGAGCAGGGGATCATACGTCCCAGCACATCCCTGTTCTCCGCCCCGGTTCTCCTTGTTCACAAGGCGGACAACTCCTGGAGGTTCTGTATCAACTACCGCGCCCTCAACGCGCAAACCTCCAAGGACAGGTTTCCCATTCCGGTGGTGGACGAGCTCCACGGCGCCCGCTTTTTCACAAAGCTAGACCTTCGTTCCGGCTATCACCAGGTGCGGATGCATCCGGACGACATCAGCAAGACGGCATTCCGGACACACCAGGGCCACTACGAGTTCTTGGTGATGCCTTTTGGCCTCTCCAACGCTCCGGCCATGTTCCAGGCATTGATGAACGACGTCCTCCGCCCATATCTCCGCAGGTTCGTCCTGGTGTTTTTCGATGATATACTGATATATAGCTCCTCGTGGGCGGAGCACCTGCAGCACGTCGGCGTCGTCCTCAACGCTCTCCGCGGCCACCGTCTCCACCTCAAGCGTTCTAAATGCTCGTTTGGGGCCTCCTCTGTGGCCTACCTTGGTCATGTGATATCCGCCGAGGGTGTCACCATGGATGCAGACAAGATCACGGTGGTCGCCTCATGGCCCGTTCCGCGATCTGCCCGTGCCTTGCGTGGCTTCTTAGGGCTCGCCGGCTACTATCGGAAGTTCATCCGGGACTTCGGCGTCATCGCAGCGCCACTGACGCGTCTCTTGCGGCGAGACGCGTTCGGGTGGGACACCGAGGCGGAGGCAGCTTTCCTGGCGCTCAAGGGTGCCCTCACCTCGGGGCCGGTCCTTCAAATGCCCGACTTCGGCAAGATCTTCACGGTGGACAGTGATGCCTCGGGTGCAGGGTTCGGTGCCGTCCTTCATCAGGGCGCCAGCCCTCTTGCCTTCTTCAGCACACCGTTCGCCGCGCGCCATCTTATGCTGGCCACTTACAAGCGGGTGCTCATAGGATTGGTGCAGGCGGTACGACACTGGTGGCCGTACTTGTGGGGACGCCACTTCCTCGTCCGGACAGACCACTACAGCCTCAAGTACCTTCTGGACTAACGCTTGTCGATGGTGCCTCAACATCAGTGGGTCAGCAAGCTGTTCGGGTTTGATTTCGCCATCGAGTACCGTCCGGTCCGCCTCAACACGGTGGCGGACGCTCTATCCCGCCGCGACGTCGAGACTGCCCCCGACATCGGTGCTACAGCAGCAGCGGTGATCATCTCCGGACCGTCTTTCACTTACATCGACGACGTACGCCGCGCAACAGCGACAGCGCCGGACGCCGCATTGCTGCAGGAACGCCTGCGCGCGGGTGAGCTGGCCGCGCCCTGGCGCGAGGACGCCGGACTCCTGCTGCACGGTCACCGCATCTTCGTGCCCGACGTTGGCGACCTGCGACATCAGGCTATACAGCTCGCTCATGGTGCTGGCCATGAGGGCGTTTAGAAGACACTACATCGTCTTCGTTCGGATTTCTATTTTCCGGGAGATCGCACGTCGGTTCAGGATTGGGTGCGCTCCTGTGCTGTTTGTCAGCGCAACAAGACTAATGCTCTTCGGCCGTCGGGGCTCCTGCAGCCGCTGGAGGTGCCGTCCCAGGTGTGGGCGGACATCTCCATGGACTTCATCGAAGGGCTGCCCAAGGTCGGCGGCAAGTCGGTCATTCTCACCGTTGTTGACCGCTTCTCCAAGTATGCGCATTTCATTGCGCTCGGTCATCCTTACACCGCCACGTCCGTCGCCCGCGCCTTCTTCGACGGCATCGTCCGCCTTCACGGGTTCCCGACGTCCATCGTCAGCGACCGGGGCCCCGTGTTCACCGGTCACGTGTGGCGCGACCTTTTCAGGATGGCCGGCGTGACTCTGCGCATGAGCACGGCGTTTCACCCTCAGACGGACGGCCAGTCGGAGGTGGTGAACAAGGTAATCGCAATGTATTTGCGCTGTGTTACAGGTGACCGGCCTCACGCGTGGGTGGATTGGCTCTCATGGGCGGAATATTGCTATAACACGTCCTTCCACACCACCCTCCGCGCGACGCCCTTCGAGGTGGTGTACGGCCGTTCCCGCCTGCCATCCTGCCATATCGGCCGGAGACAGCACGTACTGAGGCCGCGGATGCTCTTCTTCGCAGCTGTGACAACATGCTCGCTGAGGTTCGTCAATGCCTTATTCAAGCTCAGCAACTTGCGAAGAAGTACTATGACGCCAATCACAGGGAGGTGGAGTTCGATGTTGGCGCGTGGGTCTGGCTGCGCCTCCTCCACCGTACGGCGCAGTCTCTGGACCCTCGTGCCAAGCACAAGCTTGGGCCTCGCTGAGCTGGGCCCTTCCGCGTGCTGGAGCGCATCGGCCGCGTCGCTTATCGCCTACAGCTGCCTGGCGGCGCGCGCCTCCATGATGTCTTCCACGTCAGCCTGCTGAAGCAGCACTGCGGCGATCCTCCAGCGGTGTCCGGTGTCCTGCCCCCGACGCAGGACGGCCGCATTCTGCCAGCCCCGGATCGTGCATTGAGGGCGCAGCAACGCCGGGGTGTCTGGAGTGTATTGATCAAGTGGCGCGGGTTGGCTGAGGAGGACGCTACCTGGGAACGCGTCGACGACTTCAAGGCTGCCTACCCCGACTTCCAGCTCGAGGACGAGTTGTTTTCGCAGGCGGGGAGAGATGTTATGACGGGCTTGCACTATGGCCGGAGAAGGCCTGGCCGTGGCTAGGGCCGCGTCTGGGATGGGCCTAAAGCCCACATCGTCACGTAGTAGTATTAGCTATTATTAGAATTACTATAGATTTCCTATTATTAGATGAGATGAGTTATAAATACCTTGTAAGACTATTTTGAGAATTAAGCAGAAACATACCTAATTGTTTCCGGCTTCCCCTAGGAGCCGGGAGTTTTGCCCTAGCTGTCTTCTCGCGTCCCTCGCTGCAGCCACGGCGCCGCCGTGCCGTCTTCCTCGTGCACTGCGACCTCGCCCTCCGATCTTCCACTCATACAATCTGCGATCCCTCTCCAACAGGACTAGGGTTCCTAGCAGAACCATGGACACCAAGCAGCTGTAGAATGGGCAAAAGACAAACCAGTGTTAGCTATATTTGTAAATCAATCAAACCCTCGCAAAAAAAAATGTAAATCAATCAAACAAGTAAAATGGAGTTGCAGCATCAAAATGCAAAAAAAAGTACATGATGCTAGCACATTAACACGTAGTGACTCGAACAAATCTTCACCTTAGCATTGATGCTATCAAGCAGGATCCTGTGCTCGCTGTCGTACATAAAAAAATGGACCAGAGAACTTGGTGAAGCCCCATAAAAAAATGGATACTGCCTACTCAGCACAGAGAACTTGGTGAAGCCCCATAAAAAAATGGACCAGAGAAGTCAAATTCAAACCTTTTATCAATACCATGACAATTATATCAAGACAACAGCAATCAGTAAGCATCTTCATTCCAAAATAACGCTTCCTGGAGTTCCTGCTGCAGATGATCGTTTGACCGCCAGGGAACTTGAACTTGGCACGGTGGCGGGATTCTTCAGCATGATTGGCATTGCTTTCCTCGCAGTGCACAGAAAGGAGGACCTGGCCAATGTCCTCACGAGCATAGGTACCCTGAGGCTTGCCAAAACCACCCCTCATTCCAGTCTGGAACTGATCCGCCCAGGCACAAGAAAGAATCCTGTCGATACAAAGGACATAGAACGGGTTGAAGGTATCCTTCCTAGCACTCTTGGTCACTACTAGTTGAAAGAAATGCGGGCAGCCTCATGACCCTCTGGAAACGTTCTCCTTCTCCCAACACACTAGGTGGACACAGAAGGGGAACCCATCCACACCATTCATTCCAACATCATAGATCCTGATCTTGGGGTCACGGTAACCACGGCACTACCTTGACTTTGGGTATGACTTGTTCTTGATCTGGCAGTAGCACCGAGTCCGTCCTGGTCACAAAATTAATGAGACAGAGTAGTTAGAACAGAACAAGTATACAGAAATGACATTGAATCATAGTATATCATTAGAAATGACAACATAGCGCTGCAGACATGGAAAATTAATCACCCATAGCAACGTTATCCTCCTCCCACAATTTCATTACATAGGAATAATATCAAAACTTCTGAACACATCAGAACTTAAATGGTAGGCTTCAAAGAGATCCATCTCTTGAAATGATTCTGTGTTATTACAACATAATACTTACCACTCAATAAATCATGTGGACCAAATCATGATGCAACATAGGTCAATGAAAGGACCTTCTTGTGGGATTTTTTTTAAAAAAAATCTAAAGTGCATATGTGGCAACAGTTAAAAAACATATGTCAAAGCGAATTCCTCATAAGTAACTATGAATGTAATCCCATAAATCCACAATACAATCCCATTAAGTAAACAATTGATACAAACTCTACCAAAGTCAACAGAATTAACAAGATGATCACAGCATAATGCAGAATAGAGAACACCATAAGCACACGCATGTACAGCACTAGAGACAAGATCAGTTAAAAAAAACTTAACAAAACAGTTATGGCAAGTGATTTACTTCAAAACTATATGTGTGTTCCCAAGAGATAAATAATTAAATATATATACCACTGCTATGAACCATACGGAAAGAAAGTAACAATTTCGCTCATAAGATTTTGCTCCAGATATAATGCCAAAAGCCCACAACCAAAATAGAATCAAAAAATATAAAGCACCAAGACTCCAAGAGCATTCTCGTAACGCCCTAGAGTCCAAACTGCTTAGATCCACTCTACATGCTGAGTTAACCACACCTACCACCATCCCACTTACGCAATTGTCCTCGCTTCGCGTAAAAGGATTAATCCAGAGATGGTAGGATGGATTCTAGAAGCTTTATATGTTGGTCTATTCCACCTTTAACAACTAAGGTGAGACTAAACTCTCCACAATATCTCATTAACATACACATGGGCCACCATAGGCCAAATTCCAAACTGGACCGGATGTCACATACATACCCCCCCCCCTCAAAGGAACCAACGTCCTCGTTGGCCCAACATACCAACATACACACAACGGGGCCCTGACCCGCACGCGCCCGTGGCTGCGAAGGTTGGCTCCTATACCATTTGTAACGCCCCAGAGTCCAAACGGCTTATCCACTTTACATTCTGAGTGAGCCACACCACCACCATCCCACTTACACTTTCATCCTCGCTTCGTGTAAAATGATTAACTCAGGGATGGTGAGATTGACTCTAGAAGCCTTATATGTTGGTCTATCCCACCTTTAATAACCAATGTAGGACTAAACTCTCCACAATATCTCATTAACATGCACATAGCCCACTATGGGCCAAATTTCAAACTAGACCGGATGTCACAATTCTGTCATAAAGAAGGCAATATGGGAACAGATCAACAATCAAAGTATACACAAATGGAAGGAAATATAATACAAGTCAAGCCATGCATACTGACAGTGTACACAAAGCTGCAATGTTTATTCCTTTATGGTACATAATACCAAAACTAACCTAATCATAATATGGTGTTAAATAATTACCCTATGCAGAAACCAGAATGACAACAGTGAAAATACAACTGTTTTTAAAAGGCCGAGACAACCTGAGCAACATTAGAATTTGCTGGCACTAGAATTTACTTCTACATGCTTTATTAGAGAATTATGATGGTTTTCCTCCCATTATGCATCTAATTACATGGTAAGAGGCTACATTTCCACAATAACAACACCTATACACAGCATAAAACACTTGTTCGGGTACTTGTACGTATGTCCCGACTATTAGTCGGTCGCATATACTCATCGGAAAACACTCTAAGAGGTAAACCAAAGCGCTAGTTTTATCACCACTCTTCAAATTCATGTAACGAGGTACGCACAACAGGATCCAACCAAACCCAAGAGCTAAAGACAACCGTGCTGCGGCCATGGTAATTTCATGGCTCATCCTTCCTCATCCATATGAATCTGTAATTTAATTTTGTTTGCATCCCAAGTTCTGTGAAATACTCCGTACAGAAAGAAACAAGGAAAACTTTAGATTTTGGGAGAATCAAACCTGTCACACATCAAGATTTATGAGATTTGGGGTTATGTAGGTCGATGAAACAGTTCTACTTTTCATTTAGTTTTATAGGTTTGGCTAAAGTCGGCTAATAAAATCTGATTCACAAAGTTTCCAGGATACACAGTAGTTCCTAAAACCAATTTCTGTTGTCTCCATGACTCCACCATAATTAGGTAGTAGCAAAACGTAAAGGTAGTGCCACAATTACAGGTTCTCCAGTAGTCATTACCCAATCTGTGGCAGAAATGCAAAAACTCAACTCAGCCTTCCATCCATCTTATGCAGAGATCAACAGCGCAACAGCAATGGTACAAATTGAGAACTGAAGATTGTCAAAGCGCCACAGTTACCTATATCATAAAGTAGCTAGATTCACAAAATATCGCTGCTGCAACCGTAGCATACACTACCATGCTACAATCCATAATCAACGCGACTACTGTCACAGTCAATCTCAACTGCATCACCAAAAGGGAGTGGTATCTGCCATTGTCACCTGCTAGTTCCTAACCATCTAAACCCACCTGCTAGTGCTAGCTCAGAGCTCCTGCTTGGCGAGGATCTGCTCAATCCACAACACGCGATGCGGTTCAGACATCGCCAGAAACATCATCCCACGGGGTCTGCCCTGGTTGAGGTAGAAGAGGACAGCCAGAAGCTGCTCCTCAATGAAGCCAGGGATGCCCATCACTGTGGGGTACAGATCAGGGTGTGGTTCGACTGGAGCAGTGGCAGCACGAACAGCAGATGCGAGACCAACAATGGCGTCATGGAGTCGAGCAAACTGCTGGGCGCTGTACTTCCTGCGCCTCCTCATCACCTCAATGAAGGACACTGCTACTGATGCCATAGCACCAGCAAGAAGGATCAGCTGCCGTCGACGATGTAGCCAGTCCACCTACAAGGGGTGTCCCAGAACTGCATCAGGAAGACGCAAATGGTCCAACATAAGAAGCTCAATTTGTACACCAGAAGGGATTCGTGTGCCTTTTTACAGTGACCACAAAATCCCATCAAAGATTAATGTTAAGAGTAATGGAACATACACTGCTCCTGCTCTGACAAGCATCAATGGAACCCCTAAAATTCCAAAATATGTATCATGGAATCAAGCTCTGAACTTTTATATAACAGAACATCAATCTACACTGTAAATGACATTCCGGCATATCTACAGGGCCAAGTGAACATTCAATTTTATATTTTTATGGATTTCTTGTGAACAGCCAGGGCCTACTAATGCGCACACAACCAATCTTAACCAACAAAAATGCCCCGATTCCACACCACAGGCTCTGGATCACAGCCAATCTGAATCCACCAATGCCCCCAAACATCCTCCGAACTCAGCGAAACTACGGAACTGTTGAATTTTGGCCGAGCAAAAACGCACCTCGGCGGCGGCGGCGGCGGAGGAGGAGGCAACGCTGGAGCGGCTGCCGGAGCCCACAGCAAAGAGGCGACGCTTCGCCTTGGGGCTGCCCGAACCCCCAACTCATCCGCCACCGGAGCACGCTGCCGGCGAGGCGTGGGCGGGGCCGAGCGGGAGACGGGGCTGTCCCTGCCTGCGGCGCTCATGGCTGCCGCCTCTTGGGTCTTGGCTGGGATGGCCTAGACGGAGTGGTGTGGGCACTTCGGGGACGGAGACGGATACGCGCCGAAATTGTTCGCCTCCGGCCTTAAAACGCACGGTGTGAGTTTTCGTTTTCGCGGGCTCGCAAAAAGTCTTGGCGCGCAAATCTACCATGCAAGCACTTTTTTTTGTTTTTCTTCGCTTTCGAGTTGTCATACTACGATTTACCGGGAACCAAACCAATGTGAATGAAACAAAAGAATAATTAAATCTGCGGAAGTGTTTCTCCTCCTGTCAGTTTACTTTTAAAAAAATGATTACTAATACGTTTTGACGAGTACATGGCCCCAAGTATCTCCTATGCCATCCTATCATATATACTCTCTCCATCCCAAAATAAAGTAATGCAAAAAAAACAAGGAGAGAGATAGAGAGAAATAGAGATGATGTACTGGGAAAAAGAAAAAATATTTTTTTATTTTTTTTTTATTTTTTTTGAATGCCTCTCATCTGATGCAAACAAAATTTAAACCTTATAAAGTCAAGTACTTTAGGACAGAGGAAGTACCTATATAGACGGAGGTGACTAGAAGTCATTAAGTGCTATAAAGCTTGGAACCACAAGATACCACATCAAGGACATTTCCAATCACAAATAAGTGATGTTTCGAGGTTCTGTGGATCAAATTCAATTATTTTAGGCTAGCTTCACCTAACAAGCCATGTTTAGGTGGCTTTACGTACACCTCTTGTAAAAGAAATGACTTCCCTGGTCCGTAGTTTCACTAGAAGAGCCATTTTATAAGCCTCTATTCTTTTGTAGATGTCACATTAGCTTTGTCCTAAGTCAAGTATTATTATCTTTGACCATCTATTTCAAAAACAATTCTTATAACTTCGCAACATATGAATTATATATCATGAAAATATTTCTCATAGTGAATCTAGAAACATAAATCTTATATCATGATTCATGAATCTTAAAATTGATGGTCAAAGATACAAATGTTTAACTAACCATCTATTAAAAAAATTCTTATAGCTTTGCAACATATGAGTTATGTATCATGGAAATATTTCTCATAGTGGATCTAAAAACATAAATCTTATATCATGATTCATGATTTTTGAAATCAATGGTCAAAGATACAAATGTTTGACTTAGAACAAAGCTAATATGACATGTAAATAAAAACTAAGGAAGTAGTGTATAGTAGAACTTTACTTAAGCTTTATAAAGAGTCAGAGAGACAAAGCTAAAACTCCTCAAGAAGCACTGCCAAAAGACCCTTAATTAATTTTGACTTTTATATCTATTATAATATATTTCTACAATTTTGTGAGACTATTTTTCAAGAAAAATGTACCCCGTATCATCTCCTAACATACGTACTTGATACTTGAAAAGTCTAGAATAATCAAAGTTTGGAATAACTAATTTCAAAAAATGATAAAACTTCACTAATATGTGACTGAAGCGAGTAACAGAATGGGAATGCCTAACTATGAGCCTAGAAGCATACTCCTTCTGCCCCTTTATATTTGTCGCTATGAGAAATATGCGGGTCAAACTTTCTCAACTTTAACTAGGATTGTACAAAATATTAGCAACATTTGTACCTCTAAATAAGTTTATTATGAAAATTGATTAAATTTTCTTATATATAAATTTTCAAAGTTGCGTTTGACTTTTCAGGAAGTGAGAACGATAGATAAAAGGGGACAGAGGGAGTAGAAGCGTTCATGAAAGGCTCGATAATATATCTCCATATCCTTGACATCATGTGCGCATCATATGCAAATCATTTGGGTACCTTCTTTACTATTACTTTTCCTTTTCTAATTTTTTTTTGGATGAACCTTCCTTATTACACTATAGTCTATACTTTAAGGTGCGCATTTTTATTTGTTCACATCTCCTAAAACGCAGGTGCCTGAAATCTACCTTTTGTTCAGGCGACGTGGTGCTCCTTTGATCTGCCCTTTCTTTGTGTGAATTTAGGTCCATTAGATCTTCATCTGATGGTTCAGAGCCGTTGCCTGAATAGATGTTATTTTTCAGGCACCTGAAAAATAGAGTTTATTACTTTTTGGTGGGCTGCTTTTAGCAGGTGGTACACTTTTTTTACACAGCGCGTGCTGGGTGCGCGGCGTAAAAAACGGAGTAAATCTCATCGTGAACTGGGTCAGTGCCAGCGGTGGCCAACACGCAGGCATATGTGCTTGTAAGGCGCGGCGTGAACCATGCGAGGATTAGAGAAACGCAACAAAAAAGCCTTCGCGAACAAATGCAGAGGGGACCAAAAGCACTGTCAATGTAAACTTTCAAATGACTTCTCTATAATCTTGTGGTTTCGTTTCTCATTTGTTGACAAACGGACACGGGCACCGCACAGAAAACAAGTACAGAAAAGGTGATTCTAGATAGAACAAGATTCTGTATACATTTCAAAGAGCAAAGGTGATGTGGCAGAGATGACAAAAGGAATCGCTTTTAGGATACAAGTTGCAACAAATTTTGTGCGACTGTATCCTAACCATCTTCTTGCTTTCTCAGGGGTGCGCCGCCATCCACATATCTGCGGAAATCCTTTGTGAGTTTTTGGTAAAACTCGACATCAGACAGCTTTACACTGCTGATTGCAGACTTACTGTGTGCGCTTCAGATGAATTTAAACCACAGCAGCTGTTTCCGCAGTGGATATGTGAGAAGGAGTACAGTGAAAAGCTGCGGCCACAGCATCTACTTTAGTACGTATGCTTCTAGGATTGTAGGAAGCATTACATGTGAAACCAAACAATGCACTGTATAGACCTAATGAACAAACTGTCCTCGGAAGTGCAGGATCAATTTTGTCAGGACGATTAGTAGCTGCAATAACAGTTACACCAACTCTCTGGTCCAAACCTGTTGCCACCAAATAGTAAATTATGCATCATCAAAATTTAGAGACCAATAGGTGCTTCTAAATAACAAAATGTGTCAGACAGCAAGTCACCAACATTCCAACTGTGGTGGAGCGAGCAAATGGCTAAGACTCCAATTGATCAATAATTGAATGGAAACATCATTTGATGCTTAGTCAACGAAAAAGTTTAGTGACTAGCGTTAGTGAGTATATATAAGGCAATTAGACTATAGCCTAAGGCAATTATCAGCAAGTTTATGAACAGCCATGAAGCAACATAAGAGAAATTTCGTTTATGGGGTGACAAGAACTCACCATCCATTTCCACAAGCAACTGAAAAGAGGACTCTGTCAGCAACAGACGTGCCATCATTTTCAAGCCCACGAGTTACTGCAAACCCATCTATTTCATCGAAAAATAGTATTGCTGGTGCATTAGCCCTAGCCTTTGCAAATAGCGACCTTGCTGCCTTTTCAGAGTCTCCACCCATTTGCTGAAAAATTCAGGACCCTTAACTGCAAGGAAGTTCAATTTTGCTTCAGAAGCTGCTAGCTGCAGCACGAGCCATCAGTGGCTTTCTGCAACCTGGTGGTCCTATCATTAGCAATCCACTGGGGGGTTTGATCCCTAAACGCTCAAATGCTTCTGGGCATTTCTGCGGCAATTGGATGGCTTCAATAAGCTGCTCCTTGACACTGGCTTGACCACTAACATCTTCCCAACATACTTTCGGAACCTCAAGCATTACCTGTGCAGAGTATGATTGACAATTGGCATCACTTTTACGCAGGTCAAATGCATATATATAGAGGAACTGTAATATAATAAGAAGCCAACAGTTCCAGAGTTAAAGCCTTGCAGGTGGATAGATGATGCTATACCTCACGCATTGGCACTTGGTCTAATTTTCATTTCAGCCTTCTGAAAGTCGTCATTGTTGACTAACAATATTTTTTCATCTTTCTCACTATTTGCAGAGGGACAATCATCCAATGACATGGTTGAGAAAGACAATGATAATGAGCTTTCATGATAGCCTAAAGGATGACCAGTATCTCAAACAAACTTATCTACACTAGAGTCAGGATGACCAAGTTGTAGACTCGAATTTTCTCTTAGGCTGATGAAACGGCAAAGAGCAATCAATGCAGCCTCATTGCATAGTGCAGCTAGATCAGCAACCACAAACCCATGGGTGTCTAGAGCAATAGACTCAAGTTCCTCATTACTGAGAGAGTGGTGAACTCCAATTAGAAGGTGGCGAAGTATGTCCATCCTCTGCTGGAGATGGCACTCCTACAATCCAGTGAGTAGACAACAAATCATGGTCAACATGGTTTTAGACTCAACAATATATCATTGGACAACCATGTTAACTCAAGACTACTTAAAATTGTTACCATCTATATATGCAAGCTAACCTTAGTTTACTAAAAACTGCCTTGACTGGCAACTTTGGGACCTCCTATCTGGTTTTGAGCTACATCCTGAAGTTGAGGACTCACATATTTGGCGACTCTCCTCTAGTGGGCAATACTCGGCCAAATCTGCATATGAGGGTTTTTTCTTCGGCTCCACACTTTTTGCCCCCTATGAGCGGATCTGGAAAACATGGGCACCGGCCAAATGTCATTTCTTTTTGTGGCTGGTTGCACATAATAAGTGCTGGACCGCGGATCATCTTGCGTGGCGAGGATTGCCTCACCTTGAACAATGTCCTCTATGTGATCAGCATGATGAGACCATCAACCATATCCTAGTATCATGTGTTTTCGCAAGGCAATTCTGGTACATTCTGTTTCAGCAAGTCGGGCTCCATGTTCTAGCTCCACAACCTTCAGACAGTTCCTTTGATGGGTGGTGGGAGAAGGCAAGTTCTGCTGTGAATGGTGAGACGAAGAAAGGACTAAATTCGCTAATAATTCTTGGGGCCCGGACATTGTGGAATCACCGAAACCGGTGTGTTTTTGATGGGGTAACGCCTAGCATCACCAGGGCCTTGGTCATTGCAGGGGAGGAGCACCGGTTATGGTGCATGGCAGGTGCTCAGGGGCTGTCCTTCCTGACTGCCCCACTCCCTGATGGTTAGCATGTATGGTTCGCTCGCCTCGACAGCTAGTTCACGGGCGCGAATGTAATCAGTCAAACAGTGTGGTGTGTGGTGTGTGTTGTAAAGGGTTCTTAACCCATCTTTCTTCTTAATATAATGAAGCGCAGCTCTCCTGCGTTTTTCGAGGAAAAAAAAATAAGAACATAAAAAATAATTACCTACCAGGGACAACAGAAGACACAATACATTTCATTCCATTCCTTATAAGTCAAAAATATTGACCAATCCTAAAGGCATGATGCTACATTTCATATAATTACCTAAAGGCATGATGCTACATTTCATATAATTACCTAAAGGCATGACATAATTCATTCCATTCCTAATGCATTCTGCATATCCATAAGTATTCGTTTTAGCTACAGGCATTTAGCTTTAAAAGCATCATGTGTATGTAGAGGAGACTACATCAACGGCCCTTTTACTTTAAAAGCATATGGACAGCATAGTAGGATTATACCTATTTCAATTTCTTTATCCAATCTTCCAGAACACCAAAGTGCAGGATCGATACTATCAGGCCGATTAGTAGCCGCAATTAAGAGAACACGGACAGTCGGTCACTAGGGCCTATCTCGTCCATCAGTTTTAACAGAGTGGCCACCATTCTAATAGATAACTCCTCGCCCCCTTCCATCCTTGATGGAGCAATTGCATCCAATTCATCAATAAATATCTAAAAGGAACAAAGATACATAAGATAGATGCATACTAGTGTCACAAATGGCAACATGTGATGAGATAAGAACCCTAATTATAGGATACCAATATGTCAAATATATAGTATTGCTCATTGCTAACTAAATACTTCAAACCTTATACAATCAGTGATCTGCCCCCTGAGTGTGAAAAGAGTAACAAGTTTGGTTCATGAATTTAATTAGAAGATGTAACTTTAAGACTTTAGAGTTGCAGAGCACATCAAGACATTAGGGCAGCTTGGGCTCAATAATACAGTGCTACTATACAAAAAATCAAGTTGCTTGTATCATTAAAAAAACACTGGTCACAAAAGTCATAAAAAATGTTGTTATTTTTCTAATACAAAGGGGAGATTCAGCATTATAAATTACAATAAAGAGGTAACTCTAACAGGAATTTTCTTTGCAGTTGACATGACAGTAAAGATAATGCAGCTAAGCATTTGAAGAAAATCTAACCACAGCAGGCGCAGCTTTCTTAGCTGAACTGAAAACATCATACAGAGATTGCTCACTTTCACCATAATAATTACTAATGATCTCTGGTCCGTTGACTGTGAAAAGGTTGGCTCCTGCATCATAGGCATAGGAAGAGGCAAGAGAAGTTTTCCCTGTTCCAGGTGGACCATAAAGAAGAACACCTTTGTATCTGAAATTAATCAAAAATGTTACAAAATGAAAAGAATGATTTTTTATAGAAGAATACAGGGGGAAGGGTGTATCTGTTTACGCAATACCTTGGCAAACCTATATGATCAGCCAGTGAAAATGAAATTAGTCCTTTTATGATAGCTGACTCTTTAGATAAACCACCAAGCATTGGAGCATGATTGGAAACTTCATTTCTTTTATTATCATATTCATAAAGTTCTGACGGTAAATCTACCTTATCTGGGCCAAGCTTCTCTGTGCAAACAGAATCAGACAGATGCACTTTTGTGGTTCTATCAACAAGGAACGAAACTAGGGTTTCCCCCAAGTTAGCTGAGTCTTCTGCATTAGACAGTGTATTCCCTTTCTTGCACAAATCACCTTGGGCAGAGCCATCAAATTCTGCTCCCATCACCACAAACAAAGACAATTTTCCGCACATTGAGAGAGGAACAAAATTCCCTTTTAATAACTGTCTACCATTAGGCCACCGTTGAGCTGAAGTCTGCAACAACTCGTTTAACTTCTTCATCTGCTAATGCTGATCTTGCAGTGGTTTGATCCAAGCACATTGAAGAGCCACTGTTGAATGAAGAGTACAAGGACTCCTTCCTATGCAGTGGAGCAGAAGGTATCTTCTTGCATGTCTCCATAACCATTCCATTACTTTCAGGACAGCAGTCAGACTCTGATTCATTGCTACTGGAAGATCCAACCTCAGGTGGAACTAGACTAAGGTCAAGATTCTTACATTTTATTACCCGTAAAATATCTGCTTCATCACTATACCCGTAAAAGATTCTTACAAGCACTTCAACGAACATTGTGTCCATCACTGTCGTGTTTCCATCCATCCATCCGCCTTCTCCGTTGAAGTGCTTGTTTTTCTCACCCATCTCCCAGTTCAGTTCATGTCGCACAGACCATATTCTTCCTTGGCCTATGGACTGATGGACACGATGCTAAACTGGAATAGGCACATGGGCAGGCGGTGAACTGGAGTAGGCAGGTGGTAATTAGGGCAGGCAAGTCCTAGGCTCGAGCAAACTAGGTGCTGGAAAGAGGGCATGAGCTGAATGATTTGCACTCGATTTCTAGGCAGAATCTGGGATAACCCCTCATCAACTTCCAGAAAAACCTAGGCAGATATGCAGGTTGCTTTACATCCATGCCTTGCTGCTCCCTTTTTACAGGCTGTAAAGCACAAAACAGTTGAACCCACCAACTACAAAATTATTATCCTAAATTTCTCCTCTCTATACATCTATAAACAATTAGAAGGCATCCATGGAAAACAATAAGTATGCAAGAACTATGATAAACAGCTTTTCGTACAGTACAAAAACCTCCATTTGGATTGGGTGGGTCAATTTGGTGGCCTGCAGATTTGATTTGGGGTGTGGTGGCTTAATGAAAAGGAGGGCTATGGCCTAGCAGTGTGCTCAAGGATGGGAATGAGGTCTGCCGCAAGAACATGAACTAGGTATCCAATAGAGAAGATAGATGGATTGACACAAAAGGTGCTATCGGTTTATTTCTACAAGGAGCTATCTTTTTTTCAATGGTATTAATGTGTAATCAGTCAGTTCAGTGGTATATTCAGAACCACGTTTTCTAAAAAAAAAGAAAAAGAAAAAGCAACCAGTAATTTTGTGCTTAAATGCAACTATAAAGTCTGTTTCACAATCACGGTGGCATAAGTCCATGCGCATTTCAATTTGGCACATTAAACACACACACACGTGGGTTATTCCAAAACACACACACACGCGCGCGCGTGGGTGGATGGGTGGACTCATGCCGACCGGAATTGATACCAATTACTAAATGTCTGTCAAATTGGAGCTCATAAGACTGAAATGGTCTTCAGTGCCCTTGTGATAAATTCAAGGGTGCCTCCCAGTCAAAACGCAAATATAAATTTGAGCAAGAAATTGCACTCCCTTGAACTGATTCTGGATGTAACGAAGCTGGTTCGCACAAACAATTTGCAGAAACAAACAGTCGTAAGTCGAAGGGACAAAAGGTGAGAAAGCAGGAGCTCACGGAGACGAGGCACCCGGGCCGCATCCCGGCGCCGACCATGGCCGCCTCGGAGAGCCAGAGCCTCCCCAAGCGGCCGCCGCGGCTCCCGTCCCTGGGGGCCACTTCGGCGACGGCGCCAGCAAAGCATCCATCGCCGCCGCGTGGCACGAGCGCCGGGAACTCCGCTGCGGCGGCGGCAGCGGCAAAGGATGGGAGGTCGACGCTTCTCTCGCCGTCGATGCTTCCGGAATCTCGGGAGGAGCGAGAGGGAGGGGTGCGACGCCGATGGGTGCCTATTCTTGCCCTCGGAAGGAGGCGTCGCGGCGGAAACAAAAGATGCGCGTGCTGGCGACGGCGCCGGGGGAGGGGCGCATGCGACGGCGAGCCTAAACCATGGAGTGGGAGAAGCGGCCAGTCGAGCGGATGAAGAAGGGGTCCGGTTCGAACCTTGGGCCAAGAACGGGTCCTTACTCCTTAGATGGGCTCCGATCGGGCTGACTGGGGAAAATATTGTTTGTTTTTTTTTCAATTTTAGGATTTAAGAAAAATTCTAATTTATCTCCCTCAACAATCGCGATTGTCCAATTTACTACAAACTATTTTTTTTAACTTCATCACATTTTAAAAACGTTGTTTTTGCACATTGGATGGTTTTTACGATGATTTTGTTAATGTGGTGCTATGGCAAAGGGGGTAAATCAGACTAGAGATATTTTTAAAAATGTCCAAAAATCATAAAATATTTTTTTAGAAAAATATCTAAAAAAATTTGCATCGAAAAATAATACAATTAAAAAACCTAAAATTTGGATTGATCTTAGAAAACTCATAGAAAATTTGTCTGACCTCAAAAAATTATGAAACTACTTTTAGATTTTAAAAAACATTATGCTCTATCTTATACTGCCTAGATTGAAATTGTTTAAATCTTAATGAACTCATCTTGGTGCATTTTGCTAGTAGAAGCTCTCGTTATCTATTGTATTTAGTCGATGTTATCGTCAAGCTGCGTAGAAGCATTGTCTGGACTACGTATGTGTAACAGGGTAGGCGTTGGTCCCCTTTACTGGATAAATTAATTTTCAAAGTAGTTATGTTAGCCTGTGTGGCTGCATGCATCCTGCCGCATGCATGGTCTTGACGATGCTTTACGAGCGCTTCTACGTAGTCCGGATGATCAACGTCGATTAATTATAATAGATAACGAGAGCTTCTACTAGCGAATAAACACAAAAAAAGTCTATAAAAATTCAAACAATTTCAAGCTAGGCACCATAAGATAGAGCATGATTTTAGGGAAAAAAGATTAAAACTAGTTTCATAGTTTTTCGAAGTAAAACAATTTTTTCAATGAAATTCCTAAGATTAAATCAATTTTTAGGTTTCTTAATTGCATTATTTTTCCATGTAAAAATATTTAAATATTTTTTAAAAAAATTATTTTTATGAACTTTTGAATATATTTTTTTTTAAAATTCTAGTCCGATTTACCTCCCTCAACATTCAATTTAGTTCGATTTACAACCCCTACCACCACCAATCCACACGTCAGCAAAATCACCAGCAGAACTATCCAAGGTGAAAAAACAAACAGACTTAAAATTGAAGATGGGTTAAAAAAAATTGGTTCCTGTAGTTTATTATAGAGGAAAATCATATTACCGTGATCGTTTGTGGGAGGTAAATTGAATTCATTTTATATATATTCTTAGGTTCTGATTTTGCAAATGTAGCCTTATGCCACCGTGTAATTCAGGCATTATTATTTAAAACCTGGCAAGCCAGCCGGCGGTTTTAGCAGCTATTTCAGCTGTTGCTGATCTGTATTACTGAGACTGAGCTACCTTGGATGGCTGAAAGCTGCTCCTGCAACGAGCAACCGAACAGACCCGAGTGGCATGGCGCGGCAGGAAGTAAAGACATCGGTATAGAACATTTGTTCACGCATACTCCTTGTTCCATTGAGTAGAACAACAAACAACATTAGACTAATTCATTGACCTGTCATTTCAAAATAAAATCATGACCTGCAAAACAACTAGCAGAACATATAATAAACGACATTGGATCCATATAGCATCGTTATATATGGGTCTCGATCATTTTATTATGAATCTGTCTATGCGTCACTCGAGTGTTCTAAGCCGCCCGAATACTATTTCCTTCACATCTTTTTCCTCCTCCTGACATGCCGTTGCCACCCACTGCTCACCACTCTGCCGGCGCGGTAGGGTATCATCGAAGCTCTGCCGCCGCGACCATGGCCGTGTGGAGCTTTGACGAGACCCTACCGCACCCGTGGCGGCCTCCTTTTTTCCCACCGCCGCCTCCTACGTCACCGGAACCCTAATCGTTGTCCCTCACCGCCTGGCCGACCTGCCTCCCATAAAATTTCTTCTAAGACCGTTATAGATTTGGAGAAGAAGAAGAAGAAGAAGAAGGGAAGAGAAAAAGAAGAGATCGAATCGAGTGTTGATTGCTCCAAAACACTAGAGTGCATGCGTATAGAATTTCTGTTTATTATTAGTAGTACATACGTACATACGCATACTGATTAATAGCTGTAAACCAACAAGCTAAGTAACGTCACGCCCAGCCCTTGACGACGCCGCTGTAGCCGGTCTTCTTGTCCTCGTACCTGTCCCAGACCATGACGCCGCCATAGTTGCGCGCCTTCTGCACCTCGGGCAGCAGGAGGTAGTAGAGATACTTGAGGTAGACCGCGATGGTGCCCTGCGCCCCATCCGGCACGCCGCTCTCTGCCGCGGCGAGGCCGAGGTACACCTCCGTCTTGGGGTACCTCGCCGTCCACTTGTTCCACTCCTCCACGACGCCCCAGGTGCTGCCGTTCTTGAAGGAGCACTTGTCGTCGCCGTAGAACCTGACGTGGATGCGCTCGAACAGCCCCGTCTGCAGCGCCCGGTCGACGCGCCGGTCGGGGCACCCGCACCGCGGCGACGCCGTGAGCCGCACCCCCTTCCGGGCAAGGCGGCGCGCCAGCTCGTCGTAGTGGTCGGCGGCCCCGCCGTTGTCGATGTAGAAGTCGATGCCGCCCACGGCGGCGTCGCCGAACGGGCGGTACACGCCGCGGCGCCGCCCGCCGAGGTGCGCGTTCCACAGGTTGTCGGCGACGTCCTCCGCGGACTGGGAGGACGGGAGCGAGTAGTCGTGGCCGCCGCCGCCGATGGAGAGGAGCACGAGGATGCCTCTGGACTGGCAGTGCTTGATGTCGGCGCCGACGCCGCTCAGCTGGTGGCCCGACAGGTCGCCCGCCAGTAGCGCCCGTGGCCGAACACGCTGTAGAAGGAGATGATGACGGTGGTGTAGAGCCCCGTGTCGCACGCCTCGCGCAGGGACCCCTCGTCCTTGTTCCGGCCCCAGAAGACG